AATTATAAAAAATAACATTGGCAGCAGCAAGTGGTTGTGAGAGGTAGCCAGCATGAGGAGGAGCAGGTACAGAACAAAGCTTCAAATGCGATTAATTTGCAGCCTCATGCACTCTTACACTGGCTACGTCTCACAGCCACTCAGCCTTTGGCTGCCAGTGTTATTTTTTTTACATAATTTTTTAAATTTTTTAATTATTTTTCTTTCGAAACTGAGGCTATCACACTGGGCACATCATGAGAAGACAAAACTTCCTGGAAAAGACAATAATGCTACAAAAATGTGAAGACAGCAGGAAAAGAGTAAGACCAAATAAGAGGAGGAGTGACTTTATAAAGGAACTGCAGGCTTGAGTTTGCAAGAGCTGAACAAGACTGTTGAGGACAGGCCATTTTGGAAATCATTCATTTATAGGGTCACCATAAGTTGGGGACCACTTGAAGGCACATAACAATACAACCACAGGTATAGTGAATCTTGAGGTGGATTTCATTCCACTACTGAATTTGACAGTATCTATGGGGAAAAGCACAAACCTTGGCAACGAATCATGAAAAGTCAGTGGAATTTATTTTTTAAAATTTAGACTGACTCTGGTCTCCAAGAAGGGTGTTACCTTTGCCCTGCTTCCATTTGGATAGGTTTTATATCCACACTTCATTCCTTTTAATCTGTCAGTTTTTGGGCTGGGCTGTCAACTCTTTGGTATTCATGCCTGCAAGGCAAAAAAACAATAGTACTCTCCAAGACCAAATCATTTAAAATACATTAAGCAGAATTTTGTTGCATGAGTCCTCGCCTTAATTCCTAAAAAGGAGCAGAGGGAATCAAGGGCTCCTACAGGAGGAGTGAGTCTGAGCACTAATTTACACAATGGTACTTATTTTTTTAAAGGATTAGGCCATCCTAATTTGGGAGTGCTCCAGATTGTACTATGCATTGCCCATTGCCATGCTTATCTGTGGCTGATAATGCTTGTTATCCAAAATGTGTGGGGAGGGATTAGATTAGACAAAACTGTGAAGGACAGAGCAATAGATTATTTTTTAGAACTACTTAGATATAAATAATAGAAACTGGTCTAAAGGATCTTGCACTGGATAAAGCGGTGATCTTGAGCAGGATTCTCAGCGTTCTCCACTTTGTCCTGTGCAAACCTCCAAAGCATTCTTTGGGAGAATCCATGACAGCTGATGCACACACAGAGGTGTGGTATATCTTTAGTCTCTGCTTGATGAAATTCTTTTAGGGGATTCTCAAGGCTTAACAATAAAAGGCTTCCTTGACAGCACATCATGGGATTTCTCTATACACAAAATTATAACTTAACATGTCTCACATTTCAAGTAGAAAAACTAGCTGTCAACTTAGCTGGGCTAAAAATGCAACCACTTGCAGAATTCAGAAGGCTTTCATCAGCTATTTTCTATTAGTTTCCATAATACAGACGGCAGACTGCAATGCTTAACTGGATTTCAGGCTGTTTTGAAGTTACCGTAGCTGTGCCAAGGGATTGTTTTACCTTAAGAAGGCTTGGCGAGAGATTGCCTATCTCCCAAAGCGATTTTCTGTACAGTACTTCTTTCCTCATTTTTTCTGTCCCTGTGAGTTCTATCAGTGAATGGGGCAAGGAAAGGATTCTTCACTGTGTGGTCCAAGCTGAGAATGAGCTATTCTGACTCACACTTCAGGTTCTCGCATTTCCTTTCCAATGTTTTCAGCCAGAACATGATGCCACAGACAAAAACTCTCCCTTGAATGTTTGAGTGCAGTCGGTGTGAGCATTTAAAAAGAGAGAGAGAAGGAAACTTGGAGAGGGCTTGAGGCAACTTGAAACAACAGAGCGGCAACTTTGCTAAAAACCGAACATCTCAACAGTCATGGTTATTACATTTTGTTCCATAATGTTTGGTTGTATATACAGAAAATGTAAAATCTCTGTTATTCATTAATATTCATTAACAGGCCTCTAGTCCTTATTTACTGAGGAACATATATTGGCCTCAATTCAGTAATTCCAGCACAGGGATTTTTTTAGTTAGATGGCAAAGTTCCTGATTTTCATAGTACTGTATAGCTCCCTTTCTTCCAGTACTTATATCTCTACAGATGTTATTTCTATGAGATAGGAAGACAAAATTTCTTGGGATCAGGAATATATCTCTTGCTTTCCTTTTAATTTGTTCTGTGCATACTGTAAAGTGCTTTGTACTTGATTATATATTATATTTATAATCACAGCTCAGCCAAAATTTATCAGAATTAGAACACATGAACCAAGTGATCTAATATGTGTGTGCTATGTGCTGTCAAGTCGCATCTGACTTATAGTGACCCTATAAAATTTTCAAGAGCATTCAAGGTAAGTGAGAAATTTAAATAGTAGCTTAGCTAATGTTACCCCTCAGTGAGTTTCCGTGACTGAGACGGGATTTGAACCCAGGCCTCCCGAGTCCTAATTTGTCATCTAATCTACTACACCACACTGAGCTTTCTAGTATTGTACAAAATATGCCAAATTTGTTCTCTGGAAAGATGTAAGTTTACAGGTTCATAATTTGGAAGCTCTTAGTGCAAAGACTCTTACTGTCCTAGCTGGAAGTATATCACTGACCTTTGTGATTGCAGAGAAATCTGCAAATACCCAATGGAAGATGAGGAAAAGCAGTTTAAAGTTGGAATTTTATTAAATCTGCTGCTTTTGCTCAGACATTACTGCACCTGGGTGAACTCAAGGAAAACTGAGTTCGTGCCCTGAGGAAATTGCTTCTACAAACTCACTAGAATAATTTTGTGCACATTAAATCCCAGGAAGTGAGTTTTGAAGAAAGAAACCATTTGATTAAATAGTTTCCTTTAAACAAAGTGAAATGTTTAAACAGTAATGGGAACCCCAGTTTGGCTGTGTGAATTAATTAACACAGGCACTTTTTTTAATGTGACCAATCTATGGTTTGTTTTATATATTAGCATGGACATGTTTATTCGTTTAAGAATTATGCCTCCCTTATTAAAATGGAATAAATCTCTCTTAAGTGCCAGTGTCACTCAGAGCAGGGAATCAAATATCAGTTGTGAATTATACTGGCTCTTTAACACCCCACAATTTATTTCCAATCAGATTTCTTGGAGGGAAAGCATGCCATATTAGTGCAGTTGTGAAACACTCTTTCCACGTAAACATCCTGAAGCAGTTAGGATTTAAATTATTGGATCTTACCTCACCTTTTTTGCCTCCTTTCATTTTAGAAACTGGTACAATTTTCAAGGAGGGTGTTTATTTGTAATTTTAAAAAGGTGCTGTGCAACTGAGTTAAAGAACACATATAGGAGAGTTTTCCCCCCTCTGGTGTACTTCTGTAAATAGAACTAATAGCAAATTCTTAGTACTTCTTCCAAACTAGATTTCCCAAGATTCCTTGCAGTTAGAGATGGGCCCAAAGTACTTCATGCTGGGTTGTCGTAAGTCATCAGGGCAGCATCTCAGGTGCCCCACATTCCTTTCCTTCACCCTCTGCCAGCTCCCCTACTCATCAGTCGGTGCACACTGCTCCTTTGACCGATGGAGCGATCTTCTGGTCCCAGCAGGAGCACAGACTTCCCTTCTCCTCCAGCAGCTGCCCACTCACTCTGATGAGGAGGCGGGGCAGGGGATTCTTGCAGCAATTTATTCCAATTGGCAATTAATGTTTGTGTACAGGAAATCACATTAGTCTTGGCAGCAAATTGCTGTCCCTTTATGAGGTGCTGCTTGTGTACCAAGATGCTCACCTAACTGCATGACCGGATTTGAACCCAGGAATACAACTAGCACCTCATTATGGAGCAGCAGTTTCCCACCAAATGTACACAAGCTTCCTCGTGTAAGTGTCAGTCACCAAAGGACTCTGCCCAGTACTTTGCTCAAAGCTAAAATGAGGTGAAAGCTGAGATGGAAGAATCTACAGCTTTGCTTAATATCTTGTTCCACTGGACATTTTGCTGCTAAAAGTGGAGCTAGAGCCTGTGTGTACCTGCTATCATGGTGGATACAAATCAAAGTTTTTTTTAAAAAAATCAAAATAATTTGAATTTTTAAAAAATCTATTTTTAAAATCTAGATCATCAAAACATCCAATATTTGCCTGTGTGTACCTGCTATCATGGTGGATAAAAATCAAAGTTTTTTTTTAAATCAAAATAATTTGAATTTTTAAAAATCTATTTTTAAAATTTAGATAATCAAAACATCCAATATTTATTTTAAATCGTGATTTAATTCAAATCCACTCTGTCTGCTGTTGGTCAAGGAGCAAGGTAGCTAAAGGCCTGTTGGGTTATTTGGAGACAACAGAGAAATAATCTCTTAAATCCTCCTTCCCCTCTGTCCTTGATATGGAAAATATGGTAAGAATAAATTAAAAACTAATGATTTACTGTCCTTTTATGTCACACAAAACTTGCTGCCTCCACTCCGCCCATTGGCAGAGCTGGTCCTGATCTCAGCTTCTCCATGTGAACCAATCCTTTGTTTTGGTTAGGTGTTATGGTTTCAGAGCTAGGGAGTTAACTAGCTAGTTGCAGTTAATTCTTTGGCCCAATAAATAAGATATAAATGCATAATGATTGTAATGACCAAGGGATAACTTCATTACTTTTGTGATATAATATTTTAGCTTCTTTTTACTTCTGGTAATGTGCCTTCACTAAATAGTAGAGGAAGAATATCAGGTGGTTCACATCCTCCTGACTCATGATGTGCTGGCTCATGCTTCTGTTTTACGCTCTGCTCATGGTGTTAAGGCAATGATCAGGTGGGTAGATGAGGCATTTTCTATTTCAAACCAGTGGCTTGTAACATGATTTTGTTTATTTTGAGGAACCGGCGTTAATTTTCAAAGTTGTGAACACCATTGTAACTAAGTATTTCTTGTGCCTTCTTTTGCTTTCACACTTGCTTTTTAAAAGTAAGCTTCCAAGCTCTGCACATTCATGTCATCTTTTCCCTTAGGTCTCAGCAGGATCTATAGTAGACACAGTAAAAGACAGAAGGATTGATTCTAGACTGCAGGTATATGTCACCCGGCCTGGTCTGTACACCTGCATAGCCACCAACAAGCACAGTGAGACATATGGCACTGCAAAAGCTGCAGCCACCATCAATGTATCAGGTGTGTATTAGTGAAAGACAAGGCCAGTGGAGGATTAAATGACATTTTGCTCCAGCATGAGATTTTACTCTCACACACAGAGACCACATACAGAGCGAGGGGCTTGAGTTCCTTATAATTTACAGCAGGATGAATTTGATCTACGGGTGCACCTCATTCCTAGCCATTTCTTCCTGTATTATTACACTTCAGAGGTTGGCACAGTTATAATTTCCTACATATTTTCTGCCATCCTGATTACAGTGTCCCAAGAGCACTCTGTAAACTCATCCAGGAGAAGGAAGTAACTGTTACCAGGCTCTATATTAGTATCACTGAACATCCCAGTGGAAATAGTTTAGACAACTACCAACATCTTGAAGATGACTTACAAGGATGTGTGTGTGTGTGTGTGTGTGTGTGTGTGTGTGTGTGTGTGTGTGTGAGAGAGAGAGAGAGAGAGAGAGAGAGAGAGAGAGAGAGAGAGATAGAGAGAGAGAGAGAGGAAAACAAGTGCTCAGAAATACAGTACGTTGATCGTTACTCTCCCAGGCCAGTGCACACAACACAGTAGGGTGAAAAAGTGTTGACAAGATTACTTTCATTTTAACTTCCTGTACGGTGGCTTTCTGAAGGGTTTAGTGAATTACCACATTGTTGAACTTTAATAAAATCACTTCACCTTGTGAGAGTGTTGGGCACTTTTAGCAGATTGATTTGTTATGTGGAAAATAACAGGAGTTACTCATCTTTTTGTATGTCGCATTTTTAAAAGTCTGTTTTTTAAAAAGTCTCTCCTTCCTACCATATTTTGCTTTATTTTAAACTAAAGGCTCTTTGGTTTTGTGTTTCACACAACCTTCTTTAGTCACTGGCCAAAGAAGAGGCAATCCAAGCCTCTTGTGAATCTTCTATTTTTCTAAATGGGCTCCAAATGAACTGCTCAAGCTAGAGTAATTATTTACTCATTGTCAGAAAAAGAGGAGGGGGAAGACATTGTTTAAAAGAGTACAGAAGGAAATGCAGATTTGCATAAATTTACATATGCCAATTTGCAGCTCTATATGAAAATGTAGAAATAATTGCTATAATTTAAATATAAGAACAATACATCTCACTATAACAGAAAGGACTAGGACCCGGCTATGCTGTCTGGATGCTCACTATGGACAAGTAACTTCAAGATCCCTACTCTGTCTTCCAAGGGGTCTTCTTTACATTGAAACATTTTTCTTCAGTATCTTCTCACATCTCACTACTGAGGTAACCTGTGTTGATGAACCAGCCATTAGATTTCCTCAGCAAGGTGGAGCAGAGAGAGAATTCTTTAGACTAGACACAATTACCATGGCTTGATATTACCTGATGATCAGGCCAATTCCTGGGTCTGTCAGAATTTATTATTCACCTTCTTGCGTAGTGTCTGAGGCTGTGTACACATACAGATTTGATTCAGAATTAGATTTTTATTGACTAATACATAGTCAATAATAAAATTTGGTAGGAATGTGGGCATGAAAAGGACTTTCCTGGCATCCTTCAAAGCAGACAAGACAAATGAACAGAAGAAACACACAAACAGAAGAACATAAAAAAAGGTAACAGGGATTATGGAGGGAAGAGACACTTCAGTGATGGTGACCTGCAAGATGTATGCAATGTTTGTTTTTCTGCCTGAGAACAACATAGTGTACCCTTGTAGCAAGTACAACCTGGTAGCACTGTTGGAAGAAAAAGTAAAAGAACTGAATCACTGAGTGGCCATACTTAAGGCTGTAAGCGAAGACGAAGAGTACATAGACAGAATCCTGGAGGAGGAGGAGTGGTGGTCAAGAGGGGCACTGGAGGTGAAAGAGCAGCAAGACAAGCAGAGGAGGAGGATGCTAAGGAGAGAACAAATATAGCAGAGGAAGCACCATAGAAAAGAGTCACACCTAGAGCTAAAGGAGAAGAAACTCTTCACCAGTAGAATTTCAAAACCACGTTCAGATTCTTGAAGAGGAGTCAGCCAGACAACATGCAAGGAAGACATACAAGACACCCTGTGAGAGGACATGAGAGAGGCTGAAGCTTAGCCAAGCAGAGTCACTGAACCCACACAAAAAGAAGAGAAAAGTAGTGATAGTAGAAGAGACTGGCTACAAAGGTAGTGCCAATGTGAGGGATTTGGATTGTGACATCATGGGCTACACTTACTGGAAGATGAGCAGAGTCACTGAACCCACACAAAAAGAAAAGTAGTGATAGTAGGAAACTGGCTACAAACGTAGTGCCAATGTGAGGGATTTGGATTGCGACACCATGGGCTACACTTACTGGAAGATAGACAGCTGGCAAGTGATGAATTGTACCTTACAAGGACTGTGAAGAATATGTCTGGCCACAACATAAAGAACTTCATATCAATGGTTTTAAACTGAATTGGAAGGAAGAGGGAGACAGGCACAATAAGAGAAACAGACTGAGGAGCTCTAATGGGACCCAAATCATCATAAAAATATATGAAGGAAAGCAGGACACAAATTATACAGTCTCCCGTGTCTATATACGAATGCCAGGAGTATGGGAAACAAATAAGAAGAACTGGAAATCTTAGTTCAGGAGGATACATTTGACTTGATAGGGATAACTGAAAGTTGGTGGATGACTAGAATACCAAAATTAAAGGATACAAATTGTTAAAAAATAACATAAAGAATAGAAAGGGAGTTGGAGTTGCAACATATGTTAAAATACATATATTTATATCATAGAATCATAGGATGATGAAGTTGGAAGGGGCCCATAAAGCCAACTTCCTGCTCAAGACAGGTATACAGATCAAAGGATATCTGCTAGGTGGTTGCTAACTTTCTCTTTAATACCTCCAGTGCCATTGTCTGGCTGCTCTAACAGTAAGGATGTTTTTTTTGTGGTATTCAACCAAAATCTGGCTTCCTGTAACTTGAGCCTTGTAGTACCCTATTTGTTACCTCCTCCCAGTTTGAAGAATCATTACTAAGCACTCTCCAAATACAGTTCTGTAAGCCACTGTATCAATCTGACAGTTGCTCTATCCAGCCCTTGCCTAGTTATCTTGCTAATCGGAATATCATGGGGCACTTGTCAAAGTTTTGCTGAAGTCAAGATATATTGCATCTACAGCATTCCCACCATCTACCGTTACCTGATCAAAAATTGATATAAAATTAGTCTGTCAGGGTTTGTTCTTGACCAATTTATGGTTCTGAAGGTTGTTCTTCCTAACGTTTCGCCAGTCTCTGTGGCTGGCATCTTCAGAGGACAGCACTTTGTGCTCTGGTGGACAGCAGGTCCACAGAGTGCTGTTCTCTGAAGATGCCGGCCACAGAGACTGGTGAAACGTTAGGAAGAACAACCTTCAGAACACAGCCAAAGAGCCCGAGAAACCCACAACAACCATTAGATCCTGGCCATGAAAGCCTTCGTGAATATATTTCATGACTATTTGTTTATCAATATCAAGCTGCAATCCTGTCTCCTCCACTTAAATTTCACATTTGCCTGGAGGGTAATAGACTGCATTAGGAAAAGACCAAGCTAAAGTAAGAACTCAGCACTTCTGTCTTTTCTTTGTCATCTGTAGAGATGGAGATATTTGTATTTGTATAAAAATACAAATATCCCTGAGCAGCTGGAACCAATGAGGGTCCAGACCACCAACTCATGCATCCTGCTGTAGTGCTTATCCTGTTCATAATTCCTGATATCTGTTTGGAGTTCAGTTCTGCCAGATATGGTCCTTCCAAGATGGCTCCAATTACCTTGGAAGGTGGTGAGTGCTTGAATGCTGGAGGCAATCAAGAGAAAATTAGACAGCCATCTGTCTAATAGGCCCCTTCCAACTATATGATTCTATAATTCTATGTAAGCAAAGCAAAGCGCGCTGCTTATATACCGCCCCATCGTGCTTCAAGCACTCTCTGGGCAGTTTTACAAGTTAATTAGGACTGGAGTAGGAACTCTGTCCATGCTCTGTTGCTGTTTGTTGGATAGTTGAGTATCTATAGCTTGTATAGAGCATGCTCCATTATAGTTTAGTAGCATATGTTAATGCAATTAGGTGGGTAAGGGAAATTATATTACATAGGATTTGAACCCTTTAAGGTAAGGGACTATCCTATAACAATTCTTCAGCTAGAGGACTTCCCTCTGTAAAGTAGGACAAATGGCCACTATTGTTTGGGAAGAAGACAGCTTGGGAAGAAATTAAGCATGAAGTATAGAGTATTGTTGGGTTCCTTGCCCAGGTATGTATAAAAACTGAGTTACTTTTATGCAGATGTGCCTTATAGCCAGAAACAGACATTAAAGATAACCAATTATTGGAAAAAGGAAATCCTTAATTAATGAAAGGCTAATGGCAGGGGTTTCTCTCACCTCAGGAGGTGTGAAAATTAGCTTGCTTTGTTTGCTCCCTAAACACCAGGACCAAAGTATGCAGTTCCTTTGGAGGCCACACATCCCATCACCACCATTGGATTTACTGCAGGAACAAACTTTTTCTCTCTACTTTTTACATCAGAACAAGCCCATGGAACACACCTGCCTAGTTTCAAAGGCTAATCATTCTCCCAGAATTGTATTTTAACTGGAAACTAAGTGCATTCTGCCCATCCCTAGCCTAGAAACCTCAAAAAGAAAAAATGATGTTATCTTTCAAATGTAGTTATTATTGCTAATGTTTAAATGCTTTGAGTATAAAAAAATATGAATACAGGTAATAATGTCATTTTCTCTCTTTCTCTGTCTTCATTCCCTTTACTCATCTGTTTATTTGAATGGACCTTCTGCCTGTCCACTTAGAATGGAGGTAAGAGTAATCTTGGGATAGATATTACTGAGACTATGTGAGCAGAAAATTGTGTGTAACCACTTGATAAACTGCTCATTTACATTTCCTGTTACGGCTGGAAAATTAGATTTATGGGTGCTGGTTGGCTGCTGCGAGAAACATCAGTCCCATCCCTACCCCTCTCCTCCAGTAACTTCTAGTTATCTAAAATGCACAGCGTAACTTCATCATATAGCAAATTTCTCTATTCCTGAAAAACAGATAAGAAGAGTGGAAAAATTCAACGTACATTGGAATCTAATCAGGAATAGAAGAGATTAGACTCTATTTAGTTTAATAATATTATTATTTATTTATATTGCGAGTCCCATCCCTACCCCTCTCCTCCAGTAACTTCTAGTTATCTAAAATGCACAGCGTAACTTCATCATATAGCAAATTTCTCTATTCCTGAAAAACAGATAAGAAGAGTGGAAAAATTCAACGTACATTGGAATCTAATCAGGAATAGAAGAGATTAGACTCTATTTAGTTTAATAATATTATTATTTATTTATATTGCGATCTAAACCAGAGCGCATTCCAATAGTCAAAAAGTTAAAATGCAACCATAACATAATTACAATAGTAACAACATACCGTTTCCAACTAATACGTTTTAATTGCAATAGCAACCAATTATCATGTATATTTTGTTCCAGAAATACAAGTACAGTTGTGTTCAAAATTATTCAACCCAAGTCAGCGCTAAGCGATTTCATCGTTAAATGAAGCAATCGCTAAGCGAGGCACCACTGTATTTAGTTTAATAATAATATTATCTATTTATATTGCACTCTAAACCAGAGCGCATTCCAATAGTCAAAAAGTTAAAATGCAACCATAACATAATTACAATAGTAACAACATACCGTTTCCAACTAATACGTTTTAATTGCAATAGCAACCAATTGAAAATGTGATGCAGTCCGTCACACACCTGAGGCTTGGGAGACGTTGGACCTTTCAACAGGACAATGATCCCAAGCATACCTCCAAGTCCACTAGAGCATGGTTGCAGAGGAAAGGCTGGAACATTTTGGAGTGGCCATCGCAGTCACCAGACTTAAATCCGATTGAGAACCTCTGGTGGTACTTAAAGAAAGCAGTTGCAGTGCGCAAGCCTAAGAATTTGACTGAACTGGAGGCTTTTGCCCATGAAGAATGGGCGAAGATACCCGTAGATCGCTGCAAGACACTTGTGTCAAGCTATGCTTCACGTTTAAAAGCTGTTATAACTGTAAAAGGATGTTGTACTAAGTACTAAGATTGAATGTCACTTGGGGGTTGAATAAAAACTAATAATGATGTGAGCACAGAAAAGACATTTGTGGTTATTTCATTATAAACTTAAGGTTATATTTCTCTGACCTACAAGTGCCTCTTTCATGTAAATGTAAGCAAGATGACTGAATGATCAAAATCAATGTCAAAATGGCCAAAACATTCAATTTCAGTGGGGGTTGAATAATTTTGAACACAACTGTATAGTCAAGTGCAACAGCCCACTTGCACCTTTTACAGCAGGGTGGGCAAATTTAGGCTTCTGAGTAATTTGTTGGGTTTTTTTAAAGTAAAAGAACCCAAAGATCCACTAACATGACTCTAGAGCAAAAGACATGAGTTAAAGAACATGAGTTTGTTTTGGGTACCTGAACAAAACAAAATGTGTAGTCTTTACATTAAAAATATAACACTTCTTTTGCCACAGCACTGTTTGCAGCTTTCTTCAGCAGTATAATGTGGCACAGAGTGGAAAATATCCCTGTTGTTGCTTTTGTTAAAAAGCTGGGAGCCAGGAATCCTTGCTGATCTCCTGGTTCTGATCTGAACTTCAACAGACTTATCCAGGGTTCTGAACTTCTATGAAGGATGGGGTTTGGCATCCTGCAACATTTTATTGCAGGCCTAACCTGTAGCACTGGCTAGATAGCTAGCCGCTGTCACTATGTTAGCTAATAAAAGAGACGGCTACAGGTAGTATGTGTATCATTCGTGAAGTGTGGCTGCAGTAGACTTCAGCACAAGTAGAAATGTGTAGCTTGTCTACTATTGCCATGTGGACATTGCACTACTATTGTGTTACTGTTGTGATTAATCACTTCCTTTTCTTCAAACATGAGCAACAACATCCAACTCAGTATATCCAGAGAAAGGGAACTGAGGATGCATTGTGCAGTCAAGGTGGAATGTTGAGAGGAAGGAAAGAACAGTGTTCCTACAGCTGGAATTCATGTTTCCATGTTGGTGTTGGGAAAAGCTTGAGTCACTTGTCAGTAGAAAGGCAGCTCAGTTTCCTCCAGGCAGATGGACTGATGCTGAGCATCCATCCAAAGAAGGAAAATTTTCACAAAGATGCAGATAGCTCAGCTGTCCTTCCAAGTATTGAGGACTCATATAAGGTGAATTATTTATTTATTATTTGAATTTCTATCCTGCACCCTCTGGCGACCAGGTCACTCTGGACGGCTAACAACAATATAAGGAATAATATTAAAAACACAATAGAAATAAATTAATACATAACAAACAGAGAAATTAAAACAGATGGCAATAAAGGTGGTAAAAAAGGTGATGGCAAAAAGAATGGTACAAAGGGAGGGTGAGATCCTAGTGCTCCGGGAAAGCCTGGCAGAAGAGCCAGGTTTTCACTGCTCTTTTGAACCCATCCAGCGAGGGTGCCAGGCAGATCTCTTATGCGGCCTTTTTGTAAAGTGAGCCAGAAACCAACCACTAAGGTGGTTCCAGTTAAATGGTCTCATTATGTTAATCTGAAGGTAAACACAAAGACCTCAGAATTGTGCCTGTAGGCCAGCACTGATTGCAGATACCAAAGCAAGCTTGGGACTAGACACTTGCATGGTTGGTTGTGTAAATGAAGATTGTCTTAGTCTTCAGCAAGCAGGAAAACTTTGGGGAACTAAAAAAAAAACAAGAAGTATTCTTTCAAAATTTTGACTTTCTTGCTGCAAGTGGCTATCATTGCTGAGCATGGGCAAATTATCAAGAAAAAAAATGCTTGAGACTAGTAGCTTTTGTGGAGTGCCTGCAGAGCAGCTCTAAAGAGTGCAGGAAATAAGAAAACAGTACACCAACATTCACAGTTGCCAATACCGCTTAGATCTGAATGTGGAACTATTCCCTTGGCATCCACTATCCTCTTGTAATGTGCCAGACTGTACTTAGGAATCAAGACCCATGTCTAATGAAAAGGGGGGGGGGACTTCATATTTTGGACATACTAGAACATTCACATTTCCTCATTAATTATAGCCTTTAGAAAATGAGGAAGAATTTCTTCTAGTAACTCTGATCCTATCAGCAAGAATCCATTTTTGATCTGTGCCTTCCACCCAATCTGCATGGGTCTGGGGATGGAGCTTATGGAGATCATAATATCAGGACAAAGCAGTGAACACAGCCATACTCCCCTCTCTGTGTGTTCCCCCCATTTTTAAGAAGCATTAATGAGTTGCATTTTTTTTAAAAACCGCCCAGAGTGGTAGAATTCACTAGATGGGCGGGATATAAATGAAAGAAAGAAAGAAAGAAAGAAAAAGTGCCACTACCTGTTTTCTTTCAACAATTCATTGTCGCACAGAATTTCCCATGTATGTATGCTTCTCCCACCAGCAGACTCTACAAAGGAGATGCAGGCTACTGCAGCACCTACCGGGGAGGAGTGTGTAGTACTCTGTTGGCAAAAGATGCATTTGTTTTCTTCAATGCCTCCTATGGAGACCCAGAGGAGACCCAGGATTTGCTTGTCCGCACTGCACTGTCTGAGTTGAAAACTGTGAGTCCTTTGTGCCGTCCAGCTGCTGAGTCACTGCTTTGTCACTACATCTTCCAGGAGTGTAATCCGTCCAGGATCGGACCTGCTCCAAAACCAGTTTGCAGGTAACACAAGCGAGCAAGCCAAATACATCTGGTGCTCTTGTTCTGCCCTAAATGATATCTTTGTACTATACAGAAAGGGCAGAATATTCAAGAAACATGAGGAATAACTGCAGGAAATGGGATGATCCTGTGTGTGGTCACAGCAAAAATAATACCAAACTTTTTCAATGACCCTCCTGTGATGGTAAAACACAGTGGTCCCAAACATGACTGGCCAGATACATGGTATTAGAAGTAATAGTTGCACCCTCCAGCAAACAACTGAAACTTTTTCAGGGTAAAATTTGGACATGTAAGGAAGAAAGTGAGTGCCCTTTAGGATAACTGAAAATTTATCCATTGACTCATGGAGTTTGGTGTGGTGTAAACAAGGGATAGAGAAACAGCTTAAAAATAGATACCCAGGTCATCATCCAATTTCTAAAAACACTCCCAAACTGTATTGGGTGGTATGTGATGTTGAAACATCAACTTCTGAAAAGAGGCAAGATAGAAAGAATCAGAGCCTTAAGAAGTTCCAAACGAGGATATAATGAATGCATTTAGAATAAGTACAGTAAAGATCTCAGTTGCATTTACTTTGGTGAAGATATTTGAAGAAAGGGTTTTGAGGATTATCTTAGAGTTCTCATATCGCAAGAGGAGTCCATCTGGTTGGACCCAAAGTGTAGAATCCCAGGATTCTGCTCTGACCAATAGGCAATCAAAAGACTAATATAAAGCCCATAAGCAGGCCATCTGGGCAATAGCATACCTCTATACCATGCCACTTGTTTACATTGGATTTGGTTACTCTGTTCTGTTATTCTACATCAAATGTCAGCTTTTGCCAGTGATTTTATTATGTAATTGATGAAAATAGTTATTTTCTGCAAAACCAGAGACTTGTATGTGTTCTGCTGCATTTTTATCATTTTTCTTGCACCGTATTAGATAATGGCTTCAATGTGTCCCTGAGTTTTCAAAGCTGTTTGCTTTCTGTATGATGATGGATGCTGTTTATGAGCACATGGAACAAACTGCATAGTTCCTGGGATGCGATCCAGCAAATGTTCTCACCTTTTGCCCCAAGGATGTGTGTTGACTCATAGGCCATTCTCAAAACATGATGTCTTCCTAAATTCATTCTAAAGTGCATTTCTAAATCCATTCCCCAGTACATTTTTCCCCTACTCTCTCCACCACACGAAGTTTGTATGGGACCAGCTTGCCACTGGTGCCACTACCTATTAGTAAGTGTAAGGTGTATAGGTTTATTTTCTGTGTTTATAGGTAATATATGGATTTGATTTCATGAACTGAATATTTTAGTCTTTCCAACTGATTCTGATTTCCCTGAATAATAAGTGGCATTTAGATGTTTGGGTATGAAAACAATGTGATAATGTTGTTTTGTTATTACTGGGATATAACATATTCTCGTCTGTAGTTTTTAATCAATGGCTAATTCTTAGCTACCAACGGCTGTTTTCAGTGTCAGAGGTATAGACCCAATATTAAAAACTTCTCAAATCCAAGTATACAAGAACTCTGACAAAGAGTCATTCATTCATATGTATTTATTTGCTGTAAATAATATATAGTTAGTTACCTGCCGTCAAGTGAGAACCAACTTATACTGACCCTAACAGGGGTTTAAAACTGAGATATTTAAGGAGTAATTTTACCAGTTCCACTCCCCCAGCCAGTTTCCAAGGCCAAGTGGGAATTCAAATTCTGGTCCCCAGAGTCCCAGTTCATCACTCTATCCAATACATCACACTAGGTGCTAAATAATATATAATAGTCTATAAATATCACTTTTCTTCCAAAGTGATTTAGTCCCAAAGATCGGAGTAATATCAGTGTATGGACCTCATATTCACCTAATACAAAAGAGCATAAGAACAGATACAGCAGTGGTGGTTGATGCCCTTTAAGGGGTCATCCGTATACATTTTGCTAGTGCAATAATGTACTCGTGTATTGATTGTACATTCCACTGTTGTTTGTAAAACAATGTAGAGAGCATTGCCTTGCTGTAAAGGATCTCTACTGCTTTAAGGAATGGCTTTCAATGGAAGAAAATGCCCGCAAAGGAATCTACAAACCTGGACTGATGCTATTGACCCTTCCTGAGTGCAACAGACTTCCCAGCATGCACAAAGATCCAAAAGCTTGCACAAGGATCCCACATCTGGGTAAGCAGCTCCGTATATGAGCCATGGTTTGGACACAGACTTAGGAATTCTGCTGAAATCAGAAGCAGTGAATCTTTGATAGTTGCTAAATGACACCCTATATCTTTTAGTTTCCCTTCGCTGCTTGCTGTGGCTATCAGAAATCGACATTTGCTCCAGAGGAGGAAGGAGGAGAATGGGATAGGAAGTACAGTGGCTCTGTTTTTACCCAGTTTTCTAGTGTGTTTATAAGGCATAGGATCTTCTAACTATTCTCCAGTGGAGTTATGCAGCTACAACACATATTTAAATATGTTTGGATCGAAAACAGAAAGAATGGGAGTCCCTTTGATTCCATTCCCTGTTTTTTTAAAAGATAATACAACACAGAAATTAACAGATACTGTATGTTATTTTCATGTTCTGGTGATAAACCAAGGTGTGTATTCAATGAACGGTTATTACACTACCAATTGCTTATTTTTTGATTTGGTTATATCCAATGTGGCTTTTCTTGCACAGGATATTTAAACAAGTAGTTCCCCACTAGGCACTGTCTGGTCACAATGCTGTTTACACTATTACTAGTGCAGGAGGGAAAAAAGCTGCCCTAACAGCTTTTTTCACTATCATAGTGATATGTTTAATTTAGGCCACAATCCATTTATAGATATCTGCACATTAAGCAGGAATTGATGGCACAGCCATAATGGCTTGAAAAGTTCACTAACACCTCAACAATGAAAAGCTATATGTTACAATGATTCACCTATTGATGATAGCTTAATTCTTTTTCTTTTCTCAGACCTTAAAAAGGAAGACATAACAAGTAAGTATTTCTCTTTAGAATCTAGTCTTTATTGCAGAAAATGCCTGGTATTTCACCTGTATGGCATCTTCTAGATTTGAATTGATGATTCAGAGTTCACAATGCAAGGCTAAACCTTAGTTGCTGTGTATGGTGACTAGGTGCTTAATGTTGTTCAGTGACTGCCAGTGGTTACAGGGAGCAGGTAACTCTCTTATTAGAACAGCATCACTGGCTGCCAATCTGTTTCTGTGCCCAATTCAAAGTGTCGGTTATTGTCTATAAAGCCCAATGTGCCTTGAGTCCAGGCTATTTGAAGAATCCTATTACCCCAGATGAGCCTTCTCAGCTCTTAAGATCTGGGGAGGCCCTTCCCTCAGTTTCACCACCTACCATCTTCATTTGGTGAGGACGTGAAAGGGGGCCTTCCCAGGGGTTGCTTCCAGCTCTGGAATGTACTGCCCTGAGAAATCAACTTGGTCCCCTCTCTCTCCCCTTTCCATCATCAGGCAAAGATTTTCCTCTTCAGGCAGGCTTTTCAGCAGGAAGTGTCTCAGGAATGGTTGTTGTGGACAGTCCTCTGAAGATGCCGGCCACAGAGACTGGTGAAACTTTAGGAAGAACAACCTTCAGAACACGGCCAAAGAGCCTGAAAAACCCACAACAACCATTAGATCCCGGCCGTGAAAGCCTTCGCGAATACATTGTCTCAGGAATGCTTTGTTTATTAGCTTACAGGTTTTCAAAAACGTTTTCAATTTGTTTTTTCCCCTTTGTTTTAGTCTTGATATATATTAAATTGTTTTGAACATGACATTTATATAGTCTATTTAAAACTGTTGATTATTCTATAGTTTTAGCTGTTTTTCATTCCCTAAGGGGAGAAAGGCAGCATTTAAATAGAGTAAACAAACCAACGAGCAATCAAATAGTATTGCTGGAGTAAATGTAATTTGTTTAATCAGATGGGATGTCTCATCTGATTCTACCATTGTGTTTTATTTTCTCTTCAGCAACTTGTTACAAAGGCAATGGGTTAACTTATGAAGGTACCGTCAATGTCACAGCTTCGGGCATTCCTTGTCAGAAATGGAGTGAACAGGTAAGAAGGGTTTTTTTTCAGAATGAAGGGAGGGCTCAGCCTAAGGCAAACTTGAAAACACATATTCCTATTATCCCTGTGGTAATGATGACATCCAGGTAAGTAGAAAGGGAAGCTTTTTTGGTGGTAAGAGAGAGTTGGGGGTTTGTTTCCATCAATATTATTTATAGATAAACCCTTCAATTCCAAATTGAACTTTATTTTTGAGGATGCTCAATCTTAAATCGTCAAGAAAATGGTACCTTAATAAGTAAGGAACTAAAGTAAGGAAGAGCTACTTGAATATTTTGTTTGATCTGTCTCTGAAAAAGTTGCAAGAAAAATTAACCCTGAAATATTGAGTGTATATGCGGTTAAACAATTCATTTAAAATTTCCCTGGCATTCTGTCCCTGTTGTTCTTTACAGCTGCTTCCTTTATTACAAATATTGTGATGGGACCAGCCTCCCACTGAGTACAGACTGAAGTCCTGGCATGTAGTATAGGTTGCTGCAACTGTTCTTCCTGTTTGTGTCACCTTGAAACTTTTTCAGATTAATAGAAATGCCATCTTGTTCTTCCTTTCATTCAAGCGAAGAGTGAGATGAAGATATTTTCATTTATTTATATTAGATGTGCACTATAAATAAATGGAATTAGTATTTCTCTACATTGTTCCAGGGGACATGGTGGCACTGCGAGTTAATCCGCAGAAGCCTCTGGCCTGCAAGGTCAGAAGACCTGCAGTTGTAAGATCGAATTCACGTGATGGACTGAGCCCCCATCGCTTATCCCAGTTCCTGCAAACTTAGCAGTTTGAAAGCATGTAAAAATGCAAGTAGATAAATAAGAACCCCATTGGTAAGAAGGTAACAGCGTTCCGTGTCTAGTTGCGCTGGCCATGTGACCACGGAAACTGTCTTCGGACAAACGCTGGCTCTATGGCTTGGAAACGGGGATGAGCACCGTGCCCTAGAGTCAGACACGACTGTACTAAATGTCAAGGGGAACCTTTACCTTTTTATTGAGTGTATTGCATCTTGTCACTAGGTACCTCATTCACACAGAAAAACCCTTCAGTTTTTTCCTGAGCTCTCCAATGCAGTCAATTATTGCCGTAATCCAGGGGGTGAAAATGCTCGACCATGGTGTTATACAAAGGATGCTTCTATAAAATGGGAATACTGCAGTGTGCCTCATTGTGAAGATGGTAAGGTACCAAAATGTACAATAGAACATGTAATTTGGTGTGATCTTTATTGCATACATTTGATTCAATACCTCAGAAATATGTGAATTCACACTTGTTGAAAAACAGCCCTGATTATTGCTTTGTGTTTGAGTGAGAAGTGGTTAACTGATAAAAAAGGAGTCAGCTTCTGGGATTTTTCCCTTGTATGGTGTCAGTTTGTGAATGGTAGTGAGCACAAGAGTGTATCCTGTAGACCATCTTGACTGCTGCCATTGGTGTTGTCAACATTGGGGCTGCCCTTTGCTTTGTAAACCTTGTCACCTTTTTTTCCTGCTGACAATGTGGGCATGATATTGTTCAGCAATATTAAGCCATTTCATGGCATTCTGAATCATGGATACATAAGCACAATATCCCACATTCATAAACCAAAGGCTTTTTTTCCTCCCCAGGCATGGGTTGTGTCTAGACATGGGGGTATTCGTATTTGTATACGAATACCCCTGCACAGGTGGACATAATGAGAGTCTGGCCCCCTGGGGCTGGACTGTCCGCTCACCTTCTGCTGCTGCTGCAGGCTCCGCACTCCTTTCCTATCGCTCTGGAGCTTGCGGTCGGCTAGCCACTCCTGTCAGGAGGTGAAACAACGAGCCTTGCTGCCAGGTCGAAGAGTGGCTTGCCAACCAAGTGCTCCAGAGTGATAGGAAGGGAGCGCAGAGCCCATGGCAGCAGTGGAAAGTGAGAGGACAGTCCGGACCCAGGGGCCAGATCCTCGTTATATCCACCTGTGCAGAGGTATTCGTATACAAATACGGATACCCCCATCTCTAGTTGTGTCCTGTTTCTCCACTCAGCAGAAGTGCACCTCTGTATTCCTAGGAGCTCATGGAGGACCCATGACTAGCTTTCTGTTCAGCAAGAACGTTCCCAGATACACCGGGCCATGAAGAGAATGCTTGGGCATAGCCTCAAAGGCTTCAAATGTAGGCCTCTCAGGTGAATTTAGGTATCTGTAAGTTATAAAAAATAGCCAAAATGGGGAATTTTGACATTTGTCATCTAAAACATTCAATAATCTTCACAATACTTTGTTCAGTATGTTTTAATTTGGGGAAATAGTCCCCAAAACCAAGGCCCTCCCAGTGAGCTTCACAATCAAGACTGGAATTAAATATCACACTAGAAAATTCATAGTTCTCAAGCCCATGAGATAAAACTATGTGCAGGGAAGCAAAGGCACTGCAGGGAGAACTGGCAGTTAGAAGAGGGAGTGATTTTTACCTATGCTGCTACTCCCTGCCGTTGACCTCCTCAGCCAGGTTTCTGTTTCCACAGCCTCTTGTTTGTGGACTGTGGGGAGCAAAAAAAACTTATAGAAAGCCTGGTTGGGAGCAGGGGCAGTTTTTCCAGAGCAGAATTGATCAAGAGGAGAAAGATATATACTTCAGACCCATTCACAAGTCACCTACTGCAAAGGTGTATCCCCACTCATTCACCCCCTTTCACCATATTATACATGTGACTGAGAATATTGTCTTTTCTTTACAACATGTTGTTCCACACTGAATGGATCTGATTCTGAATCTAAGAACACCTAGTCTGAGTCTGACACAATATTTCCCACAGTTCAATCAGCAAGAATGTTATTTACTCAGCTAGCGAGCAAACATGGTGGTATTAACATTAATTTTGATGACTGCATGCAGTTTTATCATCTACTAGTGAATGCCTTAAAAGCCCAAATGATTATTATTTGTTCTTATTATAGAATCCTTCACCCAAGGGACAACAAAGCCAAGTATGGTTGCGCCATATTACCCATCGTCATCCTCTTTTTCTCCAACATATTCCATGACTGTTATTGTCTCCATCATCTCCAGCTTTGCAATACTAATCATTCTCATTAGTGCTGCTCTTTTTTGTTGTCGAAGAAGGAAGCACTGGAAGAACAAAACAAGGTAAGATCTATAGATAAAAAATCACCTTTACAAAGATTTTTTAATAAATGTTGGCTTTGAACTGAAGTTTTCATTTGAAATTGACTTATTGAAGAGATACTGTAAATTATTCTTCACAAAGAGATACTTAAAAAGACTTTTAAATGCTAAGAGATTTGACTCATAAGAAGCATGAACATTTTTTAAATCGTAAGTGCTTTCATTCAGAACTAAGGGCCTGAACACACCAGCCAAATGTTCCCTAGTTCCAGTGATACATTCCACACCTTTGTTGTACTGAATTGTCATGTGGTATATATATAGTGGGGCAGACGCTCCCATCTGTTTTAACAGTAACTCATTGATTTCTTCCTATCTGAAACATTATGGCTACACTGTGGGACCAATTTATTTCCTCTCTTGTTTCTTGGCACAGTGCAGCTCCTTAATTTATATTTGTAGATATAATGTCATAGAGTTTCTTTTAAGGCTAAAACCTCTAACCGTTATGGTTTGGCTTGATTTGTTGAGCCCTTTGCCCCATTGGTCACTGTGGTTAGGTTGCAGTCTGAATTATGTGGATTGGCTTTATGGGGAGGTGGGGCATTGGCAGCTCTAACTTGCAGGGTGACATGTCCAGAGCAGTCACCCTCCGATGTTACTCCTTCCCCAGTGGCCACTCCTGTCCCACCGTTTCCCCACATGGGAGTGCTCTGAGGCTCCTCCATGGGGATTCCATCAGCCCATGCCTCCTTCTCTCCCTCCCTCTGGCAGAAAAGGCTGTACCGAGCCTTGCGGAATGGGCATGCTTTTTTGAGGAGAAACTTTGGTCCTGAGTGCTCTCTCTTCTCCGTTTCTCTGCCTCCCTCCGCCGGCAAAGGCCACGCCTACCTGCCGCCACCCCTGCGCCAAGCCCCAAGAAGCGGTGGGTGCACTTCTTTGAGGCAGTGCCTTGGTCCTGACCACTTCCCCTTCTGTTTTCCCCAGTGAGATTTATGTTCACACATGCAATGCTGGTAAGGAATACTTGATACATCATCAGAACAAAATAACACAACTTTCCCAGTGGGGGGAAATAAACTGCAGATGCATTGATGCCCAGGAAAATGATATGATAATGGCCATGTGTTGTGTGACCAAAAATGTATGCAACAATCTAACTGGGGTATAACTAGGGAACATTTGGCTGGTGTGGTCAGGCCCTTAGTCACATTGAATCCACACCGCATACATATATTATAGGACGCATACTTAGGTTGACATTCCAGTTTAAATTTGTAGTTGACCTCATGGAGAAAGGTGAGGGAAACCCCACGGCAGGATGCTGGAGACAGGAAGCATCAAAAGCACTCTGGCAGATGGTGAATATGAATTTCAAAGTGCTCTTTGAAGATGGGCTTGTAAACTACATTTGGCATAAGGAAGTCAGGACAGCACTCTTTCTCCCCCCCCCCCAAAGAATCTCTTGATATGCAGATCTACTCAGCCCTACCTGAGGAGGCGGCTCAGCTAATTGCCTATAACAAAAACCCCTTTTGAAGTGCCTTTTTGGGTGGAAATCCCAGGGAAATCCACAAAGGGGTGGAAAGCTTAAGAACTGTAGCCAGAAACAAACTGGAGATCAGGAGAAATGTAGCCTCAAGAGAATGGCTAATTCACATTATATGTAAGTAGGCCACCTGGCTTAGCCAGCCAAGGCAGATAGGAAACTTAGTTAAGTTAATGACTGATGCTTTGTAGATTGCCTTTACCAAATTTGTATCTTGCCTAAGAGATGGGGAAGCAGTTGGTGTAATTTTACCACTTGAAGTTCTTAGACAATGTCTTACATGTTTTGTCTTTAATAAAGTTTACTCCTTTTAAAACTGTCGTGTTGTGGATGCAGAGCTAATCTGGTTCAAATCTAAGTCTGAAGTCTCTCACTGTTCTTGGCCCACAGTACCTGAGATATTTTGTCTTTTATTCCTGTTATAGAAAGAGGGGGTGGGGGCAGAACTACCCAGAGTTTTGGATAGAAAGGAGCCTTTGGGCTGTAGACAAGGGGGGGGTCACTGGGTCCCCCCTCCCCAGCTTTGCCTAGCCCAGACCCCGGGTCCCATTTTTTTTCTTGACAGACTTCACTGAAGTGACTTCTACGCTGAGGTGATCTAACTCCTCTCAGACCTTTTTCCATGGTAATTTGCTATGAGACTTTTTATAACATTCACACAAAGTAATTTGTTACAGTTAACTAACATTGGAAAAAAGGTCCTCTAAAAATGTCCAAAGAAATCTTTAAAATTAACTAGCAGACAATATTTATTATACATTTCCAAAGTGTAACATTGTTCCCGCTTGCTAAATTAGTTTCAAAATCTTATTTTGTGACATTCATTTACTAAAAAGGTAATGAATTACAACAAAAAAAAATAGAACTTGTTATTTATAACCTGTTGCTTCCACGTTCGGGTACTATCCTGCTGCACTGAGTGCTGTGGAACAAGACTGTGACACATACTAACTCCTTTTCATACCCGTTAGGTCATATTTTAGACAGCATCTTCCTGTCAAATCCTAGCTCCTCTAATAACCACTTGTTGATTCTGTTTCTGAATAACTCATCTTAAATATGGTTTGATCCTACTGACAATAAAACCCAGGTTCTGCTGAAAACAACCCAGATTTAATTTTTAGCATACACATAAGGCATGTGCATGCGTGGACTACTGTGCCAGGGGAACGAGCTTTTCTGCTCCACTGGCAGAGCTTTGTTTATTTTGAGACACATATCGGCTCAAGTCATTGTAATTGATTCCACGTGTGTGTGTGTGTATGCCTTTGCCATTTTTAAAAAAGATTCCTGCTATCTAATACAGTGCTATCCATGATAGCAGGAATTTTTTTAAAAATAAAAGCACCATGCTTGCAAAAAGCCAGCACCTGTCCAATTGCCCCCCCACCTCCCTGAATGCTCCCCCCCACATTGCCTGCCTGCCACCCATGACTGACATTGTGTGAGAAGCAGTGGCATGGTGAGGTGTAACATACATCGACACAAAACATTTGGATTCATGCTAAAGTCCATGTAACATTAGCCTGAATCCAAAAAACTCTATCCCTCTGCCAGTTCATTCTAGCAGTGGGAACAAGCTCTCTGATAAGAATAGGATTTATTGTGTCATGAATTAGCATGGGGAGTTAGCTGAGCAGCATAATTCAGGAGTAGATAAATACTCACGTTAGTAACATCCCAGGCCAGAAATCACTTACTTGGATTACTTTCACAACCATTCAAAAAGCCATTCATTTCTTTGCTTCGTTATTAAGGCTGCAGCTCTGTACTCACAGAGGTGGGAGTAAATAAACAGGAGTTAATGATGAGAAGTCATGTATAGGACAGACGTGTAGAATGCCTTTCTCCCCCTGAAAAGATTTTAAAATGGCTTACAGTTAAATAAATCAACAGCCATTAAATATGCCAAATAATTTTGGGATTCCTCTCATAGCACTCGCAACTACAATAGATCTCAGGTTTCTGTGAAGAAGCAACAACTAATCAGTTCCCAGGGACATGACAAAGATTTCAGTGAGGAGGAGGGAAGATTTTCAGCAAAAAAGCCCTGCTTCTAATGTATTCGCGAAGGCTTTCATAGCCAGGATCTAATGGTTCTTGTGGGTTTTTTGGGCTCTTTGGCTGTGTTCTGAAGGTTGTTCTTCCTAACGTTTCACCAGTCTCTGTGGCCGACATCCTCAGGGGACAGCACTCTGAAGAGCCCGGCCAAAGAAAATGGCAAAACGTTAGGAAGAACAACCTTCAGAACATGGCCAAAGACCCCGAAAAACCCACAACAACCCTGCTACTAAATTTATTCAAGGTTAGACTGCAACAAATCAGTGTACTCTTTAAGTATTTGTTGTGGTTGCTTTCATATACATCACAATAAACATATAAATGTTACCAATGCAGGCCTCATAACTGCCCTTTTTGAAAAACAATCAGGATTCATTTTTGGCATATTTAATTTACACATAGGCCAATTTGATTTTTTTAAAAAACTGTGTTTACACTCCTTGGTAGAGATTCAGAAACACAGGGATTTCTGAAGAATAGTCACAGGCAAAGGAGTTAAACCTCCTCTTCCACCCTAAATGGTGCCCCTATGATCTCCTAGCAGAATGGTTCCCAACCTTGGACTGCAATTCCCAGAAGCCTTCCTCACAAGCTGCAGTGGCCAGGGTTTCTGGAAGTTGCAGTCCAAGAACACCGGGGTACCCAAGGTTGGGAACCACTGTCCTAGCATATTAATAATTCTAATTGATATCCTGTGCTTTATGATGTGACTACTATGTGCTATTCTTTCTCTGCATTTATCTTTACCTGCACACTGTTCAGGGTTCTGAAAGATGATCTCTTTTAGAATGTTTTAACCCATCTTGAACCAGCTACCTGGGATTTGAACCCCAGGTCGTGAGCACAGTTTTAGCTGCAGTACAGCGTTTTAACCACTGTGCCACATTTTAGAATGTTTTAACCCACTGTTCATATTGTATGACCCATATCCTTACCGCAACCAAGAAGCAACGTCTTCTCCTTTGTTTCAGGGATTCAGCACCACCAGCCCTGACGACTCTTCCCTCTGAGCTCTTACTGGACCGACTGCATCCAAATCCCATGTACCAGCGCATGCCATTACTCCTGAACCCAAAATTATTCAGCCTGGAGTACCCACGAAACAATATTGAATATGTGAGAGATATTGGAGAAGGAGCTTTTGGACGAGTCTTCCAAGCTAGGTAAAGGAGCTCCTAATCAACATGCTATATAGCTGCCCTTGGTTGTTTCCATTTAAAGGAAACTCCAGCTTCACTGAATCTTGGAGAGAACAGTATGACGTCAACACCTACATAGGGCTTTTTCTGTTGTGTGCCCTCCGCTCATTTCTGATTTCTGGTGAACTTTATAGTTCATCTAATAGTGAACCTATGGTTTGTTTTTTAATAAAGAAGAAATTTAATATTATATCTAATATATGAAAAGAAAAAAAAGTCCTGCACTTCCTTATGAAGTCCTTCAGTGTACCTGAAATCAAAGATGACACATATGTATGTAGTCCAAAAACGTCTGGGGACTCAAGTTTGAGAATCACTGATCGGGAGGAAAGTGTGCTATTCAGCTTTGCTCCAGACCAAAAAAATATCTTGGGATAACACTGTTCATCCACCTCATAGATAGAGCTTTCTTATCACCCAGTATCATCTTGAATGCCGTACTTTTCAATGGAGACAGTTCACATATTTCGCTTAGAGCCATTGTCATTGTGCCATAAGATATAAAATGTATGAAATCAGCCCCAGCTGTAAGACCCGAAGCTCCATTCATATATTAAGATGTTACATGCAACTATTTTAAATTGATCATATGAAAGTAGTTAGCTATTAACTTGGCCCAGTTCTGACAGTTCATGATTGTTGGTAAACAAAATTCGTCTCAACCTGTTTAGGGCAGAATAACTATGTGATCTGCAGGAAGCACTGACATGCAGGTATTCACACAGAGTGTTAAAAACATGACTGCTGAGGGCAGACAGGCAGAAATAGAAACAGAAGACAAATATTATAGGTCTCAAACAAGGGCTGACAATTTGTCTAGTAAGATTTTATATATCAGTAAGTGGTTTGGGGAGGACTTGGTGCTTCAGCATTGCTTAAACTGAGCAGATATGGAACTAATCAGTGTCTTGAATGGGAGAGCCCTCAAGAGGCCCCTCGAGAGCATGGTTTGTATGAAGAAGGTTGGAGCACCATGACTTGTAGGCAGAGGGTCCCAAGCTGAGTATCTACTTTCGCATGGTAAAGTGGTCTAGCTTAAGATCCTTTGATAGCTGCTGCCAGTACAAGAAAATAGTGGGTCAGATGGACAAACAGTCTGACCTTGTAAAAGGCTTCTCTGTATTTTCATGGAAAAGCACAATAACTATATAGTGGGTTAAACTTGTTTAGGGAGAAGGAGTGGTTGTTGTAGTAGGGGGAAATATCCCAAATTCAGATAGATTTCTGCTCACAGATTCCTGATTCTGGTGATTCTCCATGGAACCTGGTAAAACACAATTCAGAATATTTTGTAGGTCTCCTGTTTTCCTCTGGAAGAGCTTTTGTGGAATATAGAAAGCTTAGGGTTGGACAAGCAAAAAGGATAGATCCATTACACAACTACCCCTTCTGCTCATACAACATTGGATTCTATGAATTTCACGGAACAATATACCATTAGTATAAACCAAATATGTTGATCTGTTGAAGAAAACTATGAGCAGTTATGCAGTGTATCAGATTATTAACTCTGAATGTTCTGCAAATGTCAGTCTAGGTAGCATTAATAAATATGGATTAATCTCACAGATACTTCAGCTTTTAATAGTCAATGAAGTTCTAATATTTGCTGTTGTGTTATATATTTTATATATTTTCCATGGTGATAAATTTATTTGAGTTTCCACGGTTACGTAGCAGCCCCACTGAACGCAGTCAGAAAAAGAAAAGCATTGTGTCAGTTTACAGTTTGTAAGTATCCTTATCAAACCTCTGGAGACAAAGGTCATCCTGCCTATGTCATTTTGAGATAAAGTTGATTGTGTCTATGAAACATACTTCTTTTTAGTCAAGGTGGAAGGGTTTCTCTAAACAAGCTGGCAAACAATCATAGATCAATTAACACTTTCCATTGCAAGAAAGTGGGAAGAAGAGGTCAGAATTGGGACGTTATTGCCCTCTGCCACTGTTAGACAGTTCTGTCAAGAGAAAGATTGATTCTGTGGATTGCCCCCACTCTGAAATTTGAGCTTTATGTTAGGATTGTCATTAAGAAATGGAGTAAGCAGCTGTGGTAGAGTATTCGGTGTGTGTTCAATCTTTTGCAACAGCACATATGACAGTACATGTGCAGGGCCTCTTCTCACGTGTACAGTGAGCTTGGCCAAGAGGTGTGACAGTGATGGGGAGTGCAGGTGGTATATAGCATAAATAATGTTTAATTGTTTGAAATGAGGAAAGATATCAAATCATGCCATAAAGCAAGCTGAGCCAACATGCAAGTTAAAAGGCAAACCTGCTTAGTTTCAGTCATTTATTCCAGTCGCAGAATTTGGGTGATTTAAATGCAGAACTCCGGATTCATTCTCCATAACTCAGCAAGCTATAGTATTTTGTAGATCCGCTCAGTACAATTATAATTCCTTCTGTAAGTGTAGCAAGCAAGTCAGAAACCATGTGCTTTTCCTTTTATGGGGGGATAAAATACACTGCCATATTAGGGACATTGTAAGGGTTTTCTTTTCCCCATTGCAAGAGTCCAGAGCTTCCCAAAAGCCAGAGGTCAAAAAGGCATTTAACTTTAGCTAAGATATTTGCAGGGAATTGTGTTACTGTTAGTTGCAAAACTACATAGGCTGCATCGCAGCTGTGTTGCTTTCCTGGAAGATTTGTTTTCAGATGGGCATTTTGCCATTCTTTGGCATTTGACAATGATGTGACATTTACTGTAGCCAACTGCACCTGTTACATCGCCATATGTCTGGAGCAGACACTGCGAAAACTGGAAGTTTGCTTTGGAGACTAGAACTTCCTACAGCTACTGAACAGTAAAACACCCTGATGTTTAAGGAACAGCTGAGCAGGTTGGCTGTGTGTGGCCACTCAAGGCAGCAGATAGTTGCTGTAAACTGTCATGCATAGGGACAACATAGCTAGGATGTAATATGGCATTCTTACCAGCCTAAGTCAAAAAATCGAAAGGCACTACATGACATATTAGAGAGAAAATAATGCCAACATGGTTTTGGATAATAATTTACAGCTTAACCTCATGGACACAATGACATGAAAGGCTGCAGCTTGCTCCCAGAGCAAGGCCATTCTCTTTGATAGAGTCAATCTGCTTCCTCAGGCAGCAGATTTTGAGTATCACAAAGAGGCAGCAAATTGTTCCATTGTTGTTATTGTATTTTTAATGCCAAGGATTAGGGCAGGTACCGTACTTGTTGCATCTTATGCTTCATCTGCCAAATGTACTTGCCTGACTCAGGCATTATGCACTCTCTACTAGGTGGGTGTTGGGCATCATTTGTTGATATGTCTCAAGCAGCAGAATGTCTTGGACCTTGGCAATGTTTGCAGATAGTTTCTCTGCCTTTTTTTCCTCCATTTTTGTTTCATTAGGGCACCAGGACTGCTTCCTTACGAGCCATTCACAATGGTGGCAGTGAAGATGCTCAAAGAAGAGGCCTCCGCAGACATGCAGGCTGATTTCCAGAGAGAAGCAGCTCTCATGGCTGAATTTGATCATCCCAACATTGTCAAACTTTTAGGTACCAAACCTATTCCCTTCCACCCACCATCACTGAAATATCATTTAAAATCTCTCCCCATCTCCAGTGCTTACTAAATCGCATAGGCAAACTAGACAGCCATCTAGGGTGTCATATTAAAAGAGCCGCTGCAACACAAGAGCAGAGCTAATGATTTGATTCTTGTGCTGCTTCAAAGTTAATTTCAGTACAATTATTATGAAGCAGGCATTTTTTTAAGAGGCTTAGGAATTTGTAGTAACTTCTCAGGCTGAAATAACTGTCTATATTTCAGCAGGAAAAAGAGGAAACAAGAATTGGACTCTCCGTTGGAGTGCTCTCTTTGCTTATTATCACCATGTTGGATAAATTAAGGAAGGCCAAACAAATTCATCACTTTCACCTTGTGGGGGTGTGGGACTGTTGAACATTGCTTGATCTAGGGACCTTTTACATGCACACTTTTTTTTCAATTAGACACAGATGTTTTCACAATGGTAAATTGTCTGCTTTTCCTCCAAAGGCAAGAGTGAAGTTTGCAACAGAAAGTTAGCCTAAGCTACTGAATGCTAGCTGAAAACATTTGTTTAATCACTAGAGCTGTAAATATAGGAATGCTTACTGAAATCCAATTATCAGTCCCTGGAGTAAACCTACTGAATCATTGGGAAACTTGGTAAGTCGCTTCTGGTGTAAGTTCCATTGATTCAACAGGTTTCTTCCATTGATTCAACAGATCTAACATTCAGATTTAGACCATTTAATTTTAGTTCTCCAATAAAATATTAGTTGTGTATTTCAGTGGCACATATAGAATAACACACAATCATCAGTAAGTAGGGTCTTCTAATTTGGACTGATGGGTTGTGGTGCAGATGGAGATACTACGTACATAGAAACAAGGCCACTGTGAGACATAGTCAATTGTTCTGGGTAGAGATGGGCACTTACTGTTGTTCAGCACTGTTTGTTGGATCAGGCCTACAGGTGCTGTGTGGGTGCCCTGGATTTTGCACCCTGCTTCATCCCACAGGTGCCCCATCAGAAGCAGAGTTGCAGGCTTCCTTGCCTTGCCTCCTACTCTGAGTGGATGCCCACTGGAGGAGGTGGGGTGCAGAAACTGGGATGTGTGTTATACCTGAGGCCCTGATCCACCAAACCACAGTGAACCACTAAACTGCTGATCTCTAGTCCTGGGGCATCCACTACCTGGGGATGATTACCATTGGCCAACTTGACGTGCTACTTGGCCTATGGGCCTTTGGGTAGAGTGGGCGGCATAGAAGTTAAATAAATATAATAAATAAATAAATTTGGCACCCATCAGGTCAAATATCCATCCTACATTAACAGAAATGCTAGCTGATTGTTTTCTTCTCAGCTACCCACTGGGAGTGGTGGAAGTACATACCTGTTCATCATCATGGCTTTGGTCAGTGGAAGTGCCCCTATTGCTGCCACGTGGGAGTGTGATAGGCTGAAAGTGCACCTCATGATGCCTCAAAAAGACTCCTAGAAAGAAAAAGAGAATGTGCCAGGTCCCCATTTCCTACTTCTGAAAGCAGAAGGGAAGGGCAATCAGGATTTTACCTTAGGGTGACAAATTTAGAGGACAGGCCCTCTTCCCTCAGACTTCCAAAATCAGCCTGGGATACTGCCATAGGAAAAGATGATAGTAAACCAGGGTACTAGGGGAGAACAGAAGAAGATAGTTGGTATATCAGGGCCTGCTAAAGCAGCCAAGGTGCTAGGTAGACCAGACATCTGGCTTTGGGGAAATGCAATTTCTATATAGCAGTTTGGGAAACTTTGTATGGACTCCCTCTCCCTTAATTGTTATGCATCATGGTACTTTAGATAGTTAACAGTTACTGTATATAAACTTGTTCAGCTTACACATGACATAGTATTTATTTAATGGATATTCTTGATTTCAGGAGTTTGTGCTGTTGGAAAGCCAATGTGTCTCCTTTTTGAATACATGGCCTTTGGAGATCTCAACGAATATCTGCGTAACCGATCGCCACGCAACCTCTGTAGCCTAAGCAGCAATAACCTTGACCCAAGGATCCGACCCTGTAGCCCTAATTTGCTTGCTCTCTCTTGCACTGACCAGCTCTATATTGCCAAGCAGGTAGCAGCTGGAATGGCCTACCTCTCAGAACGCAAATTTGTGCACCGGGATTTGGCCACCAGGAACTGTTTAGTGGGAGAAAACATGGTTGTTAAAATTGCTGACTTTGGCCTCTCGCGAAACATGTACTCAGCAGACTATTACAAAGCGAATGAAAATGATGCCATCCCCATTCGATGGATGCCTCCAGAATCTATCTTCTACAACCGGTATACAACTGAATCGGATGTCTGGGCCTATGGTGTGGTCTTATGGGAGATCTTTGCCTTTGGGATGCAACCCTATTATGGGATGGCTCATGAGGAAGTCATCTATTATGTGAGAGATGGAAATGTCCTTTCTTGTCCAGATAACTGCCCCCTGGAGCTGTACAATCTCATGCGTCTGTGTTGGAGCAAGCTGCCTTCTGACAGGCCCAGCTTTGCAAGTATATACTGTATTCTGGAGCGCATGTATGAGAGGGCAGTGGCTGCTAACCATGTCTGAGCCAGGGTAACATTTCATTTCTCAAATGACTGAGTGGAATGAAAGAGAGAGCTAGCACCTGGTATATCACAAATCCTTGTAGTGGTGCTGCAGGCAATACTCCAAATATGAAATTGAAGCATCTGAGCACTTTGCTTGAATGGGGACTGCAGAATTTAAAAAGTTACAACCGCATTTTAAAAGAATCAATGACTCTAATTCTCAAAAAATTATTTAAAACGTTTCCTTCATGGCTTTCTAGTTTGCCACTAACGAGATGTTAGAATAAATACATATATAATATCCAGAACTAAAAAAATCAGATTGCAGTAAATTAATAATTTGTCAGAGCCTCAAATCTAAAATAAAATGAAAGAGCATAGAAGTAACAAGTCCTCACTGTATCACAGGGCAGGTTAATTCTAAAAATCGAGCTTCAAACACCTCCCCTAAACAGGAAGGTATTCACTGTTGATTTTGAACTTAAGGTTGTTTCACGGCAATGGAAAGTCAGAGCAGGCAGAACATCTAGCCCTGTCTTATCTGCTCTGGCTGGAAGTAGCTCTCTGCAATTTTGGGGCAGAGGTCTTTCTAGGCACTCTATTTGAAATATTTCAATGGAAAGTCCTAGAGATTGCATCTAAGGTCACCTATGGGCAAAACATGTACTCTAGCACTGAGCTGTTACCCCACAGAAATGGGAAGGGCTGTTCTAATAAAATCAATTCGAACACTGCAGCCCTGTTTGTGAGATTGTAATGGAAACTGAAGGATGTCAAACAGATCATTTTTCTCAGAAACATGGAAAGAAGCCTCCTGTAATCAGCCTGTAGATACATAGAAGATCTTATTTTCAATTCACCACTGACTCGCTGCTTTTCAGCCAAACACTAAGATGCAGGTTGTTTTACGTCCGTCTTCACAGATTTCAGGTTATGAGCTTATTTTGAAAAACAGCAACCTTCCCCTCTCCAACCCCAACCTTTCATATTTGCACTGATGAGAATCCTGTGAACGTAATGTCAGTCATTGAAACCAAGTACTAGCTTCTGTGTCCCCCCCCCCACTTCTCAAACAAGCATATCAAGGGCTTGAAAAGACACACAACCTTGCCTAAAGAGGCAGACCAGAGGGTATGGCTAAAAGGAGAAAAGGTCCCTGGAAATGGCATGGAAGCAGCTTCCATGAGTGGAGTGTTGGAAAATGTTTCTTCTGGATTTACGAAGACCTCTATGGTGTCAGCCTAGCCCATCCCCAGTCTCCCATATGGAATCTTTTTATAGGTGCTGGGTGAAGCAGCAGCCATGGAGAGATGGGGAAAGTAAATCTGCACACACTAGTACACACCTATGGCTAGACCCACCACCCAGTACATTCATATACTAAGTCAAGTACTCACTCTTAACCCACCAAAATATGAAAAATTAAGTTAAGAATCTTTTTTTTATTACACTTCCCTTATTAATGCATTCCCTTGCATACATTATGTTATTCTCACCACCTTTAATTTTCAGTGGGGATGTACCAGGACAGCTGAGGGAAAAACTTGGCTTTTTGTCATTGAGCATTCCAGCTTTTGTATTGTTTGTGTGAATTAAACATCTGTACTGTATTGTGTGTGTCAGCAACTATTTTCAAAGTGGAAGAGGATATTGTAAACCTTATTGTGAGGTGGGGTTGGGGGAGAGACTATTTTGGGATAATTCAAATGGTTTGATAGGAATCGGTTCAAGATCTATATTTTTTCCTAAATATTGTCAAAGTCTGATGTGCTTTTTAAATTGCTGTACTTCAATTGTATTCTTCCATGCTTTTCTTTCTTTTCTGGTTGTACATTTTTTAATATACACTATACTATAGTAAATTCACACCCATACACACATAGTACATGTATATATGTACCATATATTTATACATATACATATACATATGTACCTTCAATCATGTATTTTCAATCCCACATGTGACACTTCCAAGTTAATGCATTAGTGCAATTGTATTAAATCACCTCTCCAAAATGGGAAGTGTGGATCCTGTCACTGTATTTAAATGGATGGTGGTTAGCCCAAGGATTGCCTAGAAACAGTGCATGGATAGGTTTTGTGGTGAAAGAACTGGAATTTTAGTACAACTTAAAAAGCAAGTGACAAAATGGATAACAGCTGCCCATTTAGATGATTATTTGGAAAAGGGATAGGCAATTCTGTGGATTTCACTTTCTTCTATATAGTAGGACCCCCTTATCTGTGGGATCAGTATCCGCTGATTCACTTACCTACAGTCTGAAAATATTAAAAGTAAAAAATCTCAAAATACTTACCGGTATTTCTAATGATACAGTTCCCAGAACTGGTCACTAGAGGAAGCTAGAGACCATGTTATGTATAGCCTAGAGAAATATAGTTCTATGATGTTATTACCAGTACTATGATGTATAGCACTGGCTATTATACTAGTGTTTGTTATAATTCATGTTTTCAGCATCCACGGGAGGGCTTGGAAGCAACTCCTCACAGATACGGGAGTCCTACTGTATTTGAATTTTGCTCTTTCTGATAAATTCTTATTGCATTTTGAACATAGGTGAGATTCAGACCAGCTCAGTGAAACTCATTTCAGAAAATCAGAGGTAAAGAGGTATACACAGTCTGAAATTATTAAAAGTAAAAAATCTCAAAATACTTATTTCTAATGATTCCGTTCCCAGAACTGGTCACTAAAGGAAGCTAGAGACCATGTTATGTATAGCCTAGAGAAATATAGTTCTATGATGTCATTACCAGTACTATGATGTATGGCACTGGCTATTATAATAGTGTTTGTTATAATTCGTGTTTTTCAGCATCCACGGGAGGGCTTGGAAGCAATTCCTCAGAGATACGGGAGTCCTACTGTATTTGAATTTTGCTCTTTCTGATAAATTCTTATTGCATTTTGAACATAGGTGAGATTCAGACCAGCTCAGTGAAACTCATTTCAGAAAATCAGAGGTAAAGAGGTATACATTTGTAGGGTTGGCTTTCTCCCATTTTTAATTGTTTACATCCACATTACTTCCAATATAATATCATAAAATGTATGAATTTGAGGAAGTGCTAATCACATGTTATGCTGCATGCTGTTAAGTCACTTCTGATTTACAATGACCCTAACAGGGTTTTCAAGGTAAGTTTATCACAAACATGGAAGAAAAGACATTGATTTAGAACCAGAATAGTATCTGCCTAGATGCAGTCTGCCTCAGACATTTGAAACAACACCAAAATCAAGTTGTTTTAAATAAATACAAGAAGAAATGTGTGGATTTTCAACTTGGACGTTGACAACAACAATGGAAGCAGTCAAGAAAAATCAAGTTGTTTTAAATAAATACAAGAGGAAATGTGTGAATTTTCAACCTGGATGTTGACAACAACAATGGAAGCAGTAGAGATGGTCTGCAGAATATCCCCTTGTGCTCACTACCATTCACACTTGTTGACAATTGCTTTGTGTTTAAGTGATAAGTGGTTAATAGATGAAAAAAGGAGTCAGCTTAAAATGTATGAATTTGAGGAAGTGCTAATCACATGTTATGCTGCATGCTGTTAAGTCACTTCTGATTTACAATGACCCTAACAGGGTTTTCAAGGTATGTTTATCCCAAACATGGAAGAAAAGACCTTGATTTAGAACCAGAATAGTATCTGCCTGGATGCATTCTGCCTCAGACATTTGAAACAACACCAAAATCAAGTTGTTTTAAATAAATACAAGAAGAAATGTGTGGATTTTCAACTTGGACGTTGACAACAACAATGGAAGCAGTCAAGATGGTCTGCAGAATATCCTCTTGTGCTCACTACCATTCATACTTCTTGACAATTGCTTTGTGTTTAGGTGAGAAATGGTTAATAGACAGAAAAAAAGGAGTCAGCTTCTGAGATTTTCTCTTGCCTGGTGTGATTTTGTGAATGGTAGACCATCTTGATTGCTGCCATTTTTGCTCTCTACATTCAGGCCGCCCTTGGCTTTGTAAAGCTTGCCATCCTTTTTCCTGCTAATCATGTGGGCACAATATTGTTCAGCAATATCAGGTCATTTCCTGGCATTTGGAATCGTGGGTACAGAAGCACAGTATTTTCATGAACTGTAGAGAGGGGAGTGATATCTTTTGTAAACAAACAACTTGGTTGATGAGCAGGGCTATACTGCGTAACACCAAGGGATTTATGTGAATGAAAAGACCATCATTCACTCACTGTGGCAATGATATCATGAGCTGCTGCTAAATTTACCAGCTTTAATTTGGAAATGGATTTAGTTCATGTTACAGATGCCAAGGAATAAGTCAGGCAGAGTTAGGTTACAATGAAGAGGATTTAGAAGTCTTTGGTATCCTGCTAATAATTAGCAGGATGATACAGCATGTCTCTCAAGAAAAGAACACCAGAGAACAGGAAGTTCTTAACCTCCAGACATGTGACAGTCTGTTACGGGAAGAGCCAAGTGCACTTGACCCTTGGTTAGAAGCCTACAGAACTATGGAATGGCTCAGGCTCCATTTAGCATCTCCTTAAAGCTCCACGGTCATTAAATTGACTAATGGTCTGTTACCAGAGCCCTGCTTCACAAGGAATACACATAGGACCAACTCAGAGCTTCGAAGAGCTTCGTTCTTCAGTTATAATTCTAGAATCTCCCAGCCATGGGTCCAGTGGTTGGCAAACTCATGGAGCTGTGGTCCAAAAACATAGCTCTCTCAGGCTCTAGGCACAAACAAGAATGCTGAGGCTTAGGCAATAGGCATTAGGTCTTTCCTTCACAAACCTAGTTTGTATAACCTGGTATGACATGGGATTTCTCCATCCTCATCTGTCTGACACTTACTCCAGGGAGTGTTGTCCTTAAAAAGGGTAGGAAAACACAGGACTATTGCTTTGATGAGTGGCATGAAAGAGCAGAACTGAGGTTGGGTAATTGATTTACCATGCAAATCTGAATTCTGTGACAAACAGAACAGTTAGCCTGGCCCATAAGAATCCCGCTGACTTAAATCAGTCTGCCCAACATAGCATGCTATTTCTAGCTGAGGGTAACCAGCTGCTTCTGGGAAATTCACAAGCCAGCTAAGAAGGCAACCGTTCTCTCACACAGCTTGTCCAGAGCCCTGCTGGATCTTATAGCATGGAGAGAAAAAAAACATGAAATCTAAATATAAACAAGACAGCAGCATCACATCATCTACCATGCTTAAGGTATCCATGGAATTAAAATTATATAAATAATTGGTTAAAACATATGACAAATCCATTATCTCTCTGTTCTCATAAACACAACTCTATAAACACTCTGATGGAGCTTGCAAGGACACAGGCTGCAACACTTAAGTCACAATCATGCTTTCTTAATGACTTAATGACACAAGCCCTCATGTTAAAGAAACGAGTGTGTTGTTTGTTCTGAAACGTGTTGACTCAGCACAATGCAGCATAAATATTTTTCTTGGAAAGCTTATTGTGCAATTAAGTTGCCAATTCAGAATGACATTCACTTTTTCACTTCAACTTAAACTAAATGAGCCCAATACGTTTACTTATTGGACAGAAATGTTTAAAATATGTCAGGTAATGTATTACATTACTATTTTTTTGAAAATAGCCCAGCCCGTATGGTGTTATTAGCTCATTATTAGATCAGTATTTAATATTTTACTTGTTCTAGGCTAATCAAAAGAATAGACATTTCTGTAAATTACATTTTACCAGTGCATTTCCTTTGAGAAATAGGTATAAATCTATCAATTCTAAAGGAAATCAACCCTGAGTGCTCACTGGAAGGACAGATCCTGAAGCTGAGGCTCCAATACTTTGGCCATCTCATGAGAAGAGAGGACTCCCTGGAAAAGACCTTAATGTTGGGAAAGTGTGAAGGCAAGAGGAGAAGGGGACGACAGAGGATGAGATGGTTGGACAGTGTCACCGAAGCAACCAACATGAATCTGACCCAACTCCGGGAGGCAGTGGCAGATAGGAGGGCCTGGCGTGCTCTGGTCCATGGGGTCACGAAGAGTCGGACACGACTAAATGACTAATGAACAAATGATCCTTATGAGCCTACTTCCTACAGACAAGCTAGAGGGGGGAAGTCCCCACCTTATAAATATTTTATTAGTTCCCTGATACTGTACAATATATGTGCATATTATGTATCTTGTGAATTGCTATGTAAGATCATGCACTAGAATTACGTGACTGTTCTCTGTCTACTTCTAGTTACTGTTTTGTTTTAGCATCACATTGTACTGGCCTTTACTAGTATGGTACAAAGATGATGATGATTATCACTGGAAAATTGCTACAAATCTTTCCAGTGACAGTGATCAGGAAACAGGTCTTGACTAACCTGCAGTGGTTTGCCTACAATGGTCCATTTTCACCCAACTGGATTCCTCTATAAGATGTAATAAAATCCTATATGATCAGGGTTTTCAGATTCTAACTGAGAGATTCCACTGGCTCTTCTGGATCTACCACTGAACTGAGAGGATAGGCAGCCATGCTACATTGCCCTCTGCTTCCCCCCACAAATATTTTCATCTCCTCATTTGTAATACCTGGGCATCCTGCTAGC